GGAGGAGGAGGAGGAGGAGGAGGGAGGAGGAGGAGGAGGAGAGGAGGAGGAGGAGGAGGAGGAGGAGGAGGAGGAGGGAGGAGGAGGAGGAGGAGGGGAGGAGGAGGAGGAGGAGGAGGAGGAGGAGGAGGGAGGAGGAGGAGGAGGGGGGGGGAGGAGGAGGAGGAGGAGGAGGAGGAGGAGGAGGAGGAGGAGGAGAGGAGGAGGAGGAGGAGGAGGAGGAGAGGAGGAGGAGGAGGAGGAGGAGGAGGAGGAGGAGGAGGAGGAGGAGGAGGAGGAGGAGGAGGAGGAGGAGGAGGAGGAGGAGGAGGAGGAGGCGGCGGGGCGCGCCGAGGCGCGGCGTGGCACAGAGGGGGGAGAACGGGCAACGCGCGCGCGGGGCGCGGGGCGGCCGCAGAGGCCGGGGAGGCTGGAGAGCCACGCTCGGGCCAGGAGGATCTGCGTGTGCGCGCCGAGGGCTAGTTATGCTGCCCGGAGCAACAGCGCGCGTGTTTTAATTGGGGGAAACAAGCATGCCTCGCTGTTGACCTCCCTCGCTTCCAAGAGGCACCAAGCGGTGCCAAGCTACGGCCTGTACTGGTCAGGCCGCTGGACCAGGAGGCGTGTGGTATGACTTGGTTTTTCCTGGGAGCGACAGCGGGGAAGATAATTCACGCTCTGATTTTTGTTTCTTGCATCAACAACGCCTCAGACAAACGCTGTAACCATCGGATTCCTAATGTGCTGCTTGTGTTTTCCGCTAGGAGAACAGGCTACACAAAACACGGCACCTGTCAGGTTCTGCGCGCGCTGCTCCGGCGAGACTCCAGGCTGATACCCTGCCGCAAGATCCGCGACCGTCCCAGACCCCCAGGTGCTCACAAGTTGCTCCCACCGCACTTGAGGACGGCATCCCCGAAACAGCTTCGAGCACCCAGGCAGGTCTCGAAACGGTGTCCAGGGAGTCTCGCTGCCCGGGGCCCGGCGCGTGGAAACCCTCCAGTTCGGGTGCTCGGAAGTCTTCCTGGTGGCCAAGGCCAGTGAGCAGGTTGGGACACCAGGAGCCGAGGGGAGGGCGGCAATGGTGCCGCGGAGATTAGGCTGACCTCCAGAGACGGGAGGAGGAGGAGGAGGAGGAGGAGGAGGAGGAGGAGGAGGAGGAGAGAGGAGGAGGAGGAGGAGGAGGAGGAGGAGGAGGAGGAGGGAGGAGGAGGAGGAGGGGGAGGAGGAGGAGGAGGAGGAGGAGGAGGAGGGAGGAGGAGGAGGAGGAGCCCCAGGCAGGAGCAGCAGGCAGCCTGCCACAGGTGCGCGCCCCCCCGGCAGGGCGGCGGCACGGGCTCGGCGCTCCGCGCCGACAAGGCAACGGGCGGCCCACCCCCCAGGAGCTCGACGAGGACTGCGCTTCGCTCGGGCGGTGGCTGCAGAGGTCGCGGGCCCCGTCGCCGCGCACGCCGCGGCAGATGAGGAGCGGCTGACCTCTGAGAATTGATTCAACGAGATCAAACGAGATGTGAATGTTTCTCCACTGGACTCGGGTCTCTCCAGAACTACTGGAGAGCAGCAGTCAGACGCTATGCTAAGCTGCTGGGCCTGGGGCGCGGTAACCGCCACCCTGATCCAGAATGCCTTCGTGTCGTGGCGCCGTGCGGATCGCTCAACCTTTTTTGCACGGTCGTCGCGACTTCGGGGGGCCGCCCCAACTCCCGGGGCCGGTGCTGGGAACTCCCCCTGTCTGGCGAGCGGAGCGCGCAAGCGAGGTCCGCCGTCGAGCCAAAAGGTCTGGTGCTTTTGTTGGTGCCCCAATTCGAGCAGGGCTGGTGGGTTGCAAGGGATCCACTATCCACGCCTATGGTCTGTTGCCAGACGCTTGCTACGAGTCCGACTCTGACCGCCCCTGCGCTACCCTACGACACCCTCTTAACCCACCCTACGCAACTTGTTGTTGATCGTCGCCGTCCGGCTGCCGACGGGCACGAGTGTCATGAAGGTCGGGTTGAACGGTTTCCCCCTGGGCCGTAGGCGACCCGAGGAGGAGGAGGAAGAGGAGCAGGAGGAGGAGGAGGAGGAGGGGGAGGTTGAGGAGGGGGAGGGGGAGGAGGATGATGATGATGAGGAGGAGGAGGAGGCGAGGAGGAGAGAGGAGGAGGAGGAGGAGGAGGAGGAGGAGGAGGAGGAGGAGGAGGAGGAGGAGGAGGAGGAGGAGGAGGAGGAGGAGGAGGCGGGTCGCCTAAGCCCTTCGGAGAAACCCTTCAGGTCGGGTCGGGCGACAAAGGGGGTCGTCAAGGGGTTTGCGAGTCAGCCGGCGTAGCTGGTTTTCCAGGCCAGGGGCGCAGCACAGATGCCCAGCGGCGGGGCCAGAACAAGATGCATGCATCAGTTGTCGTGACCTCTCTTTCTCTTGCTTCTCCTCCCTCCGACCCGATGTCAGGGCTGAGACGGGAGGGGGAGAAGGAAGTTGGGCAGGAGGAGCAGGAAGACGAGGTAGAGTGAGTCGGGGGAGGGCAAGAAGGACCCCCCTCGTCTGATTCCAAGGATGAGGGAGGAGGATGAGGAGGAGGCCGAGGAAGCAGAGGAAGAGGAGGAGGAGGAGAAGGAGGAGGGCGAGGAGGAGGAGGAGAAGGAGACAGAGGAGGAGATGTTTTTCTTTTTGCCCAGGGGAGGAGGTGGAGGCGCCCATCCGATGACCACCTGTCAGCCCCTTTAGGGAGGGCGAATCCCACCGCGAACCCGAAGTGCAGATGGATGCCAAAGCCCGCCAGGACCATAACCATGAAGTACAGCAGAGCCCGGCAGGCCGCAAGCGGCACGGCGGCCTTGAGCACGACGAGGCCGTACCGGAGACCTCCACGATCAGGGATGTGTCCGTGCCCAGTGCGCTGCCAGCATCCCCTTCCCATTGTCGAGTAGTCGAGGGATCGCGAACTTCCCGAGCAATACGCGCATCCACGACAGCAGTCTCATCAGAAGGGTACATAACAAGATGCAACAAGTCTCCATTTACAGCAATAACTCGGCCAGTACGCCCAATGTGTAAATCTTCCAAGACCACCACATAACGCCCAATGAACAGCGAATCTGGCCAGTTGTAGTGCTTGCACATCTTCTCAAGTTCTCAAGGTCATCGTAGACGCTGTCATCCGAAGCACTATCATGCCACACCGTTTCACGTATCACTCGAACCACACCGCCGCCTTGTGGAGGATCTGCGACCCCAGCATCACGTGAGGAATGAACCTCACCACCATCACCATCACGAAGCATAGAAGGGCCATCGACTCTGAGACATGAGAAACTGAGGAAGAGTTGAGCCTCCATCCTCTTCTGAGCCTCCCGCAGCGGGCCGAAACATTCCTCAAGGGCTCCACGAAGGCCAGGCGCCAGCACTCCACCACCCTGCACTCCTCCAGGAAGCACTTCACCACGAGGATCCACACCACGATGGAGCCCTCCAGAGGGCACCTCGCCAGAAAGATCCACACACCCAAGTAGTATCCCATCACCATCCACTCCAGCAGGACGCAGTCCACACTGAAGGTCCGCACCACCAAGTACCTCCACTCCTCCAGGAAGCACTTCGCCAAGATCATCCGCATCACCGTGTTGCCCTCCAGGAAGTACCTCACCAGGAAGATCCGCACTTCCAGGTAGCACACCACAAATATCCACTCCATTAGGAAGCACTTCGCGCTGAGGATCCGCATCATCAGGTAGCACTCCAGGACACAAAGGAGAATCTGCACCACCACGGAGTCCCCCATGGAGAACTTCACCATATAGTGCAAGGTCCTCACTATCACCATGCTCATACATCATTTGGTCCACGATATCGTCTTGCCACTCAGGGAGAAGAAAACCAGGGGTAGATACAACTGGCCTGTCGCGATGCTCAGGAAGGTGCCCTTCTTCAGCAGAGAGATTCGCACCATGCCCACTGGCACCCGGAAGGTCTGCCCCATGCTGAAACTCAGCACCTGCAGGCACCACTCCAAGCTCGTAAAGCACCATGTCCGTGCAGGTCTCCACCGCCACGGCAGAGGGGATGAACTCCTTCGCATCGGCGTTGAAAGGAAACCGTGGCACCGCTGGCAGTGGTAGAAGCTCTCCGGGTCGACCATGATGTGTCCGCGGTGCCTTGGCAGGAGGCCCCCGCTGAGCAGCAGCAGCCGCAGCCCACGGGTCTGTGCCATCAGGAGCCTGCCAGGGATCACCTCCACCCTCATGTTCATCATGAGGCGAACGCCCACGACGCCGTCCATCACCACCTGAGCCAGGGCCTCCAGGTCCGCCTGTATCATGAGAATCATCAGGGCGACCTGCGACGTCATCGCCAGGAACCGCATCCCCAGGAGAGTGGTACCAGAACGCGACCTCCGAGCTCCCGTCGGAGAACCTGTGGCCTCGATCGACGACCACACTGTGTGTGGCAAGCTCCTCCAGCGAGGCGATGCTGCCCAGGACCAGGCGACGCGTGATCTGCGAGGGCATCGCTTCGAGCGGTCGCACGATGAACCGCGCCTTGCACTTGGTGGGGTCCAGGGCGGAGCAGATGTGCAAGTGGACCCCGATCCCATCGGCGACGCATCTGCGGAGCCAGGCAAGCCGTGCCAAAACGACCATCGCGGGCGCGGGCGAGAGGGGGAAGGAGGAGGGGCGCAGGGGCGCCGAGGAAACTGCGGGTCAGGCAGGTGCCTGAACCAAAGCAGCTGAGGAGGCAGAGGAGGAGGAGGAGGAGGAGGAGGAGGAGGAGGAGGGGGAGGAGGAGGAGGGGGACGAGGAGGAGGGAGGAGGGCAGAGGAGAGGAGGAGGAGGAGGAGGAGGAGGAGGAGGAGGAGGAGGAGGACGAGGTGGAACGAGTCGGGGGAGACCCCGATGGAGAAGAGGAGGAGGAGAAGGGGGAGGAGGAGGAGGAGGAGGAGGAGGAGGAGGAGGAGGAGGAGGAGGAGGAGGAGGAGCCGATCCTGCATCCGACCCGAGCAGGGCACCGGGGCGAGCGCTGGCCAGAGGGCCGCCGAGGCGGGCGCCCCGGGGTCAGCGCCAGCACGTCCGCGAGCGCGAAGGGGCTCGGGGCCGCCTCCGCTGCCGCGCTCGGGCGCGCAGGCACGCAGAGGCACGGACGCTGTTCGGAGGCAGCTCCTGGGAGTGTTTCGCTCGAGCGACTGTGGGCGATTATCCTCCTCCTCCTGCTCCTCCACCTCGAGATTCAGAGACGAGCGTGTTCCACTCCTCGCAAAGTACCTACTCGCAAACGGCCTGGACCCGCCGCGGGATCTACGAGTTTGCGAGCGTTTGCGAGTAGGCACTTTGCGAGTAACGGAACACGCTCGGTGAATTCAGGTGCCACTTCACCGGATCAGGCCGGAGGAAGCCCGGGATTTAGCCGGATAAAAAAATACTGAACCGAGCGGGGACGGATTAGCCCCAAGTGGGCCGATTATCGACCGCGGAAATACCAGCGCCGATACAGAATTCAACCTCCCAGGAGTTGCATCCTAGTCCGCTGTCGCGCGCGCGCAGTCGCGCAGAAGCCCCGACATCCGACGAGCAGAAAAACTCAAGGCGAAGGGGTTTAGGAGGCAGCTGCCGGCAGGTCTTCGTCGGAAGGATTAAGGAAATTTGAGCCCAACTGTGAGGCTGCTGCACCACATTAGGCCACGGATTCAGCGGGATTGTGCAGGATTCATCGGGATTGAGCGGGATTAGGTGGGATTCGTCCAGATTTCTGACCAGGGCAAAATTAAAATTTGACCTCCTATAGAGTTGCCGTTTTCGGCCGCCGGGGGCCGCCGGGAGACGGCCGCGGGACGAGATGACCTCCGAGGGCCCCGCTGGGAACAAAAATCAGTGCGCTGGGCCGGTGGGAGGGTACCTCGCCATCGTTCGGACGTCCATTCCCTGTGCATTGTTCGATGTCGGGCGTGGTCTTCTTTGCTCGATGATCCAGGATGCTCCTCGATGGTCCGAGCGATGCCCAGGCACCAGGAGACACTTCAGCACACCCACCCAACACCGAGAGGCCCTCCAGGCGCCCACGCGCGAGCGCCCACCAACCGGGCACCCGGCGACACCCCCGCACGAGCGTCCACAATTCCACAGGTAGTTCCGACTCTTTCGCAGGTAACCTACCTAGAGGTCGGATGTCCTGATTTGTGCAATACGGTCAATTCGGGCATGTCCCCCTACACGGGGATTTTTGACGAACAATAAAAATTATCCTGGCGAAGGACCCAACCATATGCAATTGTGAATACTGCAATTATGAATATCTTCTCGGTGGAGCCCCCTACGGGGCCACGAAACGTACGAGGGGTGTGCTGAAATGGGTGTGCGGGACGCATGCGGGCACACCCACTGGGGCCTTCGGTGGAGCTCCCTATGGGGCCACGAAACGTGTGAGGGGTGTGCCGAAATGGGTGTGCGGGACGCATGCGGGCACACCCACTGGGACCTTCGGCGGAGCTCCCTATGGGGCCACGGAACGCGTGAGGGGCGTGCCGAAATGGGTGTGGCTGACGCATGCGGGCGCGGGCACTGGGGCCTTCGGTGGAGCTCCCTATGGAGCCACGAAACGTGTGAGGGGTGTGCCGAAATGGGTGTGGGTGACGCATGCGGGCGCGGGCACTGGGGCCTTCGGTGGAGCTCCCTATGGGGCCACGAAACGTGTGAGGGGTGTGCCGAATGGGGGGTGGGTGACGCGCATGCGGGCGCGGGCACTGGGGCCTTCGGTGGAGCTCCCTATGGGGCCACGAAACGTGTGAGGGGTGTGCCGAAATGGGTGTGGGTGACGCATGCGGGCGGCAGCACTGGGGCCTTCGGCGGAGCTTCTACTATGGGGCCACGAAACGTGTGAGGGGTGTGCCGAATTGTGTGTGGGTGACGCATGCAGGCGGCAGCACTGGGGCCTTCGGCGGAGCTCCTATGGGGCCACGAAACGTGTGAGGGGTGTGCCGAATGGATGTGGGTGACGCATGCGGGCGGCAGCACTGGGGCCTTCGGTGGAGCTCCCTATGGAGCCACGAAACGTGTGAGGGGTGTGCCGAAATGGGTGTGGGTGACGCATGCGGGCGCGGGCACTGGGGCCTTCGGCGGAGCTCCCTATGGAGCCACGAAACGTGTGAGGGGTGTGCCGAAATGGGTGTGGGTGACGCATGCGGGCGCGGGCACTGGGGCCTTCGGTGGAGCTCCCTATGGAGCCACGAAACGTGTGAGGGGTGTGCCGAAATGGGTGTGGGTGACGCATGCGGGCGCGGGCACTGGGGCCTTCGGTGGGGCTCCCTATGGGGCCACGAAACGTGTGAGGGGTGTGCCGAAATGGGTGTGGGTGACGCATGCGGGCGCGGGCACTGGGGCCTTCGGCGGAGCTCCCTATGGACGCCACGAAACGCATGTGAGGGGCCTTCGTGCCGAACGATGTGAGGGGTGTGCCGAAATGGGTGACGCATGCGGGCGCGGGCACTGGGGCCTTCGGCGGAGCTCCCTATGGAGCCACGAAGCGTGTGAGGGGTGTGCCGAAATGGGTGTGGGTGACGCATGCGGGCGCGGGCACTGGGGCCTTCGGTGGAGCTCCCTATGGAGCCACGAAACGTGTGAGGGGTGTGCCGAAATGGGTGTGGGTGACGCATGCGGGCGCGGGCACTGGGGCCTTCGGTGGAGCTCCCTATGGAGCCACGAAACGTGTGAGGGGTGTGCCGAATTGGGTGTGGGTGACGCATGCGGGCGCGGGCACTGGGGCCTTCGGTGGAGCTCCCTATGGGGCCACGAAACGTGTGAGGGGTGTGCCGAATTGGGTGCGGGTGACGCATGCGGGCGCGGGCAGCGGGAGGAGTGAACACGGGGCGCTGTCTCTTCAAAACGAGGACCCAACACCACAGGATGGTTGGGAAATAGTCCAAAAAATCACCAAACTGATCAAAAATGGTCAACAATTCATTTTTGACTATTTTTGAAGATTCCCCCTGTTGAAGGACAGGCCCGACTTAACAATACGGGGTCTCTGGAAGTCCAGACACTTTCCCCAGGGCCGGGTGTTCATGCCGTGCTGCTCTTCGACGGTCCCAGGGCCTGGCGAGGCCCCCAGAGGACGAGATCGGTGAGAAACCTCGGCTTTGTTTGCTTCGAGGTTTGGGTACGCAAGAGGCCCAAAGTGCAGGCACTGTCTGTGGAAACTCATCGCATCTCTGGGTTGGAGCGCGTCGCCAGCAAGCCCACACCGGGCCGATTGCATCGGCGGCGAGCCCGGGACCATGTTTTATGACGCACGGCCCTCGGGCAGAGCCCAGACACTGGGAAGAGTGCAAGCTGCGCGTGGATCTCCACCCGGGGCAATGTTCAACTTCATTCCCATAGAAAAGAAACGACATAAACATAAACTCTTGGCGTTCCGCGCGGATCTCTTGGATGTGCGCTGGACCCCCCTCCCGGGCGCGTGGAGCGCGCCAGGGGCGGCGCCGGAGGCGCCGCCGGGGAGGCCCAGGCGCGAATCCAAGAAATCCATGCAAAAGGCCAACAAATTAGTGCCGTTTCTTTGCCGGTTCCGACGCCGCTTTTTTACCGGTTCAGTCGCCGTTGTTTGACCGGTTCTGGCTCCGGTTCCAAGCCTGGAGCCGTTTCTGTTGCCGTTTCCAGTCGCCGTTTTTGTTGCCGCTTCCATTTTCAAGGGGCATCTTTTTCTGGAAACGGTGGAACAACGGCCCTGCCGTTTCCGGGGCCCACTAAGGGCACGAGCCGCGGGGAATTTGGAGTCCCGAAACGGTGCGGTGACAGACTGCGCGGTGACATCGAAATCCCCCAAGACCTCACCGCACGGTCCGTCACCGCACGGCCTTGGGACCCCGAAGGCCCTTGTCGCCCGAGACGTCCTCGGAGAACGACCCGAGCCCCAAAACCATGCGGTGACCCCGAATCCCCGCCGACACAACGCACGGTGTGGTCACCGCACCGTTTGCGGCGGCCTGGACGACGACGACGAGGAGGACGAGGAGGAGGATGAGGAGGAGGAGAAGGACGACGACGACGACGACGAGGAGGACGAGGAGGACGTTCTACCACCGCCGCGCTCTACCGAAGGCCTCCAGGCGCTCTACCACCGCCGCTGGGCCGCTGTACCGAAGCCAGAGGCCTCGGGAGCCAGTGGATGTGGATGCATTCGGGGAGGGACAGACCTCCCTTTAGTGAAACGTGGTTTAGTGAAAACGACCTGAGGCCCAAACCTGGCGGGTGCAAGCCTGGAAAATGACGGCTACGGTGCCCTCTCGAGAACCGAAAACGTATAATTTATGAATCGACGTGTTATTGTTGGGGGGGTTGTTTATCCCCGATGTATGCGTGTGGTTCCTGGGATGGGGGGGGGGGGGGGGGGCGACTTTGACGACGACGTCACCGCCCTCCGGAGCGGCGGCCTCGACGACGACGATGCACCGCCCTGCGGAGGCCATAGCTCGAGGAAGCCGACCCCAGAGCCTGTCCTTCGGTGTGCTCTGGCCCGGCCCTCGGGCTCTTGTCGGGCGTGCCCCCCCTACAGGGGGATTCTCGACAAGAAAATAAAAATACCCCAAAGATACCCCCCAAAGGCCAAAAATTACTCAACAAGTAGTCCCCATACTCCCATACTATGTTTAGACTATTTGTTTTGGCTATTTTGGGTTTTTTTTTTTTTTTTTCGTCAAAAATTCCCCTGTAGGGGGACACGCCCGACATGAAGCCATGTTGCTCCCATCGCACTCGAGGAACACGTCCCAGAAATGAGCCCGAGCACCAGGAAGAGTGCCGAGAGCGTGTCGAAGGAGTGCCGAGACGGTGTCGAACGCGTGTCTCCTGGGGCCCGAGTCCAACACGGCCCAGGAGACCCCCAAGACAGACGGCCCAGGAGACCCGCAAGACAGAGGGCCCGAAGTCGGCCCAAGAAGGGCCCAAGACGGCCCGGGAGGCCCCCAAGGCAGCCCACGCGGGCGCCGGGCAGGGGCCCCAGAAGCGCGCGCGAGGGCTCCGTGATGGCCCCAGAAGGGCCCAAGAGGCCCCCTAGGAGCGGTCTTCGCGGACCACAGCCGGTGGACAGAGTCAACCCGCAGAGCAAGGACGGACAGTTTTCCCAAGGGTGCCCTCGCATCCTTGCCTCCTCGGCCCATCCCTGGCCGCTTTCGCTGGCCGCGCCCCGCCCGCAAAGTGTCGACAAGGCCTTCCAACGCCCCGGCATCCTTACCGCGCATCCTTATGACACGGCCCGACCTTTGTGGGCCCCAGAAGCGGCAGGGCCGTTTTTTCACCGTTTCCCCCAAAAATGTCCCTTGCAAATGGAAACGGCAAACAAAAAAAACGGCGACCGGAAACGGCAACAAAAACGGCTCCAGGCTTGGAACCGGAATCGGAACCGGTGAAACAACGGCGACGGAACCGGTAAAAAAACGGCGTCGGAACCGGCAAAGAAACTGCAAAACGGAACCGGTAACAAAAACGGCCCTGTCGTTTCCAGGGCCCACTAAGCCCAGGAGGCCCCCAGGAGGCACCAACATGGCCATAGGAGTCCCCAAGAAACCCCGAGAGGCTCCAAGTGGCCCTTCAGAGGCTCCCAAAAGGCGCCCCAAATCGCTCCCGAAGGCTTAGCCATTACCTCCTACACACCCCCAGGAGGCCTCCAGGATGCCTCCTGCACGCCCTCCAAGAAGCCCAAAAGGCCCCCAAGAGGCCCAACAATCACCTCCAAGGCGCCCCTCCCAGGAGGCCTTCAAGAAGCCCACGCAATACCTCCAAATTGTTTCCAAACCACTTACGTCTGAACAAGATCGCTGGGGCGAAAGCGTCCTTCTGACACATCGGGATCGTCCCGGATCGGCGGCACCGGCAGGAGGCCTCTACAATAATTCTGAGCACATGGAAAAATGTCGAAAGAGTGTCGATACAGTGTCGAACGAATGTCTCCCAGGGCCCGACACGTGAAAGCCGTAGAGTTTTGGTACTTGTTTTGGTGCTCGACATCCTTTCTGGTGCTCAAGGCACTAACGTAGGCTGGGACATCACAATTCGCCCTCGGGTGGATACGGCTGAGGCCACCGTGGCGCCCCCTTGCCGTCGCTCGGACGTCCATTTCGAATGCATGTTTCGGTTTCGTGCGTGCTTTTTAGTCGCTCGATGATCAAGGATATTCCTCAAGGGTCCTCGCCGAGAAAAAAAAAATACACACGTCCGAGCGATGCCAGGGCCCCAGGAGGCCCAAAAGGGCAAAGACGCTGGGGGCCTCCCGAAAGGAGCTGGAGCAGCTCGCGTCGACAGCTCGCGGCGCCGCGCCGAGGCATCGGCGACGGCGGAACGGAGACGAGCGGGCTGCAGATCGCGCCGATTCGCCGACGAATCGGCGATGCGGCGCGGTCTCTGCGACCCCATCCTGGCCATCGCTCGGGCGTCCATTCCCTGCGTTTTTGTTCGGTTTCGTGCGTGGTTGTTCCGCCAAATGATCAAGGATGCTCCTCGATGGCCCTCGCCGAAAGAAAAATGCACACAACCGAGCGATGCCGAGCATCTGCGCCGGTCCCATCCGGGGAGGCGACAGCGACTCGACTCTCGGGCACCCGTGCGGGACGAGGGAGGCCTTCCTGGAAGGACCTCGGCGAGGCGCAGTCGCTCGAACGCATGCCGAGGCAGGAGAACGGCCAGGAAGCGATGCAAGCGTAGATCGGGTGCACGACAACATGCCCGGAGGGGCCAAGAGGGGGGTGTCCAAGTGGGGGGGGCCAATCATGACCGGCGGCATGTGCGCGGCCCAGCGGGGTGGCCAGGGGCGTATTGTAATAAGAAGAGGCGCCATGACATCTGGGGAAATCTCATGGCCCAGGCCATGATATCCACCCCCCCTAGTCATCACCCCCCTCTTTGCCGCCCCCGAACATGAGTTTAGCATCCATGGATCTGGCGCGTTGGCGCCAAATCCACAGATCGGGAAGGTACCCCCCGAAACATGAGACCGGTGCCGCCCAATCCGGCGACGAAGCGAACCGATCCTGCACCGAAACGGGGCCCGCCGCTCATCCACGCGCCTGAACCCATGCTTGGGATTCCTCTCGGGGAGACGTAGGGCTCGGATTCACTCGGGTCGGGTTGGCCTGACGGGGCCGTGACCCAATCTGAAATTTGGCGCGAGCTCCCGCTGCCAGCATCCCACGAAAACTGGACCCTCAAAATGGACAGGCTCGCCCAAAAACGCTGGCAAACGCGAGTTCCAGCGAACTCGAGTCATACGTGGGGGTGCCGAAAGGCTCAGAGACTTCAATTCCCTGGACCTCTCCTGGGGCTCGTGTGCGTTCTGAAACAAAAAAAAAAAAATCGAGGCGAATCCAGCGGTGGCGACGAGGGCCTCCCAGGAGGCCCAAAAAGAGAAAACCGAGGGAAGGGTAGCGGTATGAGTACCTTTTCCTCCTCCAATTGCGCTTCCCAGATCCCTCCAGTAGAAGCCACATTTGGGTGGCATGGTCCGACGTCGACGACATCGGCATCGTCCCAGGGGTCCAGCCTGGGGCCCCGCGTAGGCCGCGCCGGTGGCCGGGTGCACGAAGACCAGGGGTGCCTCCGAGCAGGGGCTCCCGCGGGAGGGGGGGAGGGGCAACGAAAGGGGGGGACTGGTTAGGGGGGGAAACATCGGCCTGGAATCGGCGCTGTATCGCCGATCGATCAGCGATCAGGCCACGATAGCGACACCGAACCCTCTTGGGCGGGTTGGGGCTATCGGGCCCCGACTGTCGGGGATGGACAGACCCCCCTTTAGCAAAACGTGGTTTAGTGAAAACGACCTGAGGCCCAAATCTGGCGGGCGCGAGCCTGGAAGATGACGGCCACGGCGCCCTCTCGAGAACCGAAAACGGACAATTCACTAATCGACGTGTCACTGTTGGGGGTTCTGTCCACCCCCGATACTGGCGATCAATGGGCGACGGGGGATCGATGCACCCCCCCGTATGCCGATCCCCCCCCAATCATTGCCCCCAGGGAGGGAAGGGACGCCTCGTCCCAGCGGGCCTGGAGCACGAGGGTACCGCCGTTGCTTGTAGGCGCAACTTTGATGTGTTCGACCATGGGCCCCTGGTTACTCCAAATCCCTTATGAATCGACCCCCCCTAGAAAACATGACCCCCCTCAAAAATGCAGCCTAATATTCTGGACCCCCCGCTTCGGCGGGCGCCTGAATGAGCTGGACCCGCTAAGCTCCAATCCGAAGAAAGCGCCCTAATAAAACGGACTTCCCCAGTTACAAAAAAGGCGCCTTAAAAAACCGGACCCTGGGGACGAGTAATAAGAAGGGATATGGTACCCATCTGTCTTGGGTGGTCTTCGGCGATCTTCCAGCGGTCTTCGGCGTGGAAGCTGGATGCCTGCGTTTCACAAGGGGTTCATGATCGAACGCCTAACTAACAACTATACTGCGCCAGACAAGCTGCCCCAGAAATACAGCATGACGTGATGCTGGCAACCTGCACGAAGTGAGCCCAGAGCCACGCGAGGGGCAAACTTCGATCATTCCGATCACGGATATCGCTGTTCCGTATCTCTCCCTCTCTCTCTCTCTATAAATTCATGTTGCGCCCATCGTACTCAAGGACCACATCCCAGAAATAATTTCGAGCACCCGGAAAAGGAGTCGAAAGAGTGTCGAAACGGTGTCGGACAAGTGTCTCCTAGGGCCTGACACGCGAAGACACTCGGAAATTTCGGTACTTCTGATGCTCGAAACTCTTCCTGGTGATCCAGGCTAAAATAAATAGGAACATCGGGGATGGACAGACCCCCCTTTAGTAAAACGTGGTTTAGCTAAAAAGACCCGAGGCCCAAACCTGGCGGGCGCAAGCCTGGAAAATAACGGCCACGGCGCCCTCTCGAGAACCGAAAACGGACAACTCACTAATCGACGTGTCACTGTTGGGGTATCTGTCCCCCCCCCGAGAAAATCACATTTGGACGCCCAGAATGGGTACGGAAAGAGTGGGCACAATGCCCAACAAAAATGTTGTCCCAAACCAGCAGCGGCCGCTGTTGGGTGGGCGGCCTTCTGTCTCGAATGGACGCAGGCCGCGGCGGCGCGGACAGCGAATCCTGTTCAAAATGAGCAGGAACTGCTGTTGGGCATTGTACCCATTCTTTCCGTGCCCATTTCGTTCGTGCAGATCACAGCTCTAAACATGTGTATACACATATATATACACATATATATGTGTAGAAAGAAAGAACGAGAGAGAGAGAGATATGTCTATCCCGTGATGCACCGAGGGTGGACGAGCGAGATGGGGCAGGCACCCAGAGAAGCCACCCGTGGCTCCGGCGAGGGCACAGAGGACGAGCTTCTCGAACAGCGAGGCCGGCCGGCAAAGCCCTCCGGAAGAGGCCCGCCCTGGACCGGCAAGCTGACGGCAGCAGCCCACCTGCGGCCCCACGGGCCCCGGGACGGGGGGACATGTAAGGCCTCGGGCACGGGGGGGAGTCCGCCAGGGAAAACATTTCGGCACGCAAGCGCCGATCCTTTTGTCGGGCCCCAGCGGGGGCGCACCTCGGAGGCACTTCGGAGGTGCCTGCGGGCACCCCGGGAAAGGCACCTGGGAGGTGCCTGCGGGTAGCCCAGGAAAGGCACTTTGAAGGTGTTTGCGGGCGACTCGGCTTGGCCTGACGGGGCCTATAACTAAACATGACGAGGCCCAATCTGCAATTTGACGCGAGCTCCAGCGGCAAACACCGAACGAAAGCTGGACCGTCAAAATCCAGGACGCGCTCGTCAAGAAACGTCGGCAAACCCGAAATCCGGCTTACTCAAGTCCTATACGTTTCTCCGACTTAGCATACACCACGAACTCCGGCTTGGGCTTCTGCATGGTATGCGCCACGGCGCCCGGTGGGGTGTAGCGCAGCATGGAGGGCCGTTGCGGTGGGGTCGCGTCGATTGGTTCTTGATCGACGCCCCCTCTAGGGGAGCATAAAGTTGCAAAACATGAAAACTCGGAGGTCCGCGCGGATTTCTCGGATCGGCGCTGGGGCCCCCCGGCGACGCCTTCGGCGCCGCCCCTGGCGCGCTCCGCGCGCCATGGAGAGAGGTCCAGCGCCGATCCGGGAAATCCGCGCGGGCCTCCGAGTTGTTATGTTTATGCCACTTTTTGTTCCCCTACCCTCAAGTCGGGCCTGTCCCCCTACAGGGGGATATTCGACGAAAAACATCAGATACCACAAAAATTACCCTGGCGACGTACCCAACCCCTGCGCAAACGCGGGGCGCAAATAGTTTAGAACACTTTATAAGGGGGGCAATGACGGAGCGAGGGTTACATATGTCTGCAGACGGAATTCGGGAGAGTCGCGGGACACTGGCTACAGGACAAGGACTAGATAAAGCTGATTAGTTACAACCCCTGAGCAACAGTAGCCACTTCGAAAGCGGGGATCTCAGATCGCAGCCCCCCAGGGATGGCGAGGTCTAATTTGGGTCCGCGCGTGGCGTCACTGTGCTGGGCCCCCCAGCAGGCCTCGAAAGTGGCGACAGTTTCACGGATCGCAGCCCCCCAGGGATGGCGAGGTCTAATTTGAATCCGCGCGTCGCCCTCACTGTGCTGGGCCCCCAGCAGGCCTCGAAAATGGCGACAGTTTCACAGATCGCAGCCCCCCAGGGATGGCGAGTTCTAATTTGGGTCCGCGCGTGGCGTCACTGTGCTGGGCCCCCCAGCAGGCCTCGAAAGTGGCGACTGTGCTGGGCCCCCAGCATTTCGAAAGTGGCGACAGTTTCACAGATCGCAGCCCCCCAGGGATGGCGAGGTCTAATTTGAGTCCGCGTGGGTACCCACTGTGCTGGGCCCCCCAGCAGGCCTCGAAAGTGGCGACAGTTTCACAGATCGCAGCCCCCCAGGGATGGCGAGGTCTAATTTGGGTCCGCCCGTGGCGTCACTGTGCTGGGCCCCCCAGCAGGCCTCGAAAGTGGCGACAGTTTCACAGATCGCAGCCCCCCAGGGATGGCGAGGTCTAATTTGAATCCGCCGTGGCGTCACTGTGCTGGGCCCCCCAGCAGGCCTCGAAAGTGGCGACAGTTTCACAGATCGCAGCCCCCCAGGGATGGCGAGGTCTAATTTGAATCCGCCCGTGGCGTCACTGTGCTGGGCCCCCCAGCAGGCCTCGAAAGTGGCGACAGTTTCACAGATCGCAGCCCCCCAGGGATGGCGAGGTCTAATTTGAATCCGCCCGTGGCGTCACTGTGCTGGGCCCCCCAGCAGGCCTCGAAAGTGGCGACAGTTTCACAGATCGCAGCCCCCCAGGGATGGCGAGGTCTAATTTGAATCCGCCCGTGGCGTCACTGTGCTGGGCCCCCCAGCAGGCCTCGAAAGTGGCGACAGTTTCACAGATCGCAGCCCCCCAGGGATGGCGAGGTCTAATTTGAATCCGCCCGTGGCGTCACTGTGCTGGGCCCCCCAGCAGGCCTCGAAAGTGGCGACAGTTTCACAGATCGCAGCCCCCCAGGGATGGCGAGGTCTAATTTGAATCCGCCCGTGGCCCTCACTGTGCTGGCCCCCCCAGCAGTTTCACAGATCGCAGCCCCCCAGGGATGGCGAGGTCTAATTAATCCGCCCGGGGTTCTAATTTGCCGCCCGTGGGTCCTGTGCTGGGCCCCCCAGCAGGCCTCGAAAGTGGCGACAGTTTCACAGATCGCAGCCCCCCCAGGGATGGCGAGTCTAATTTGGGTGGCGTCACTGTGCTGGGCCCCCCAGCAGGCCTCGAAAGTGGCGACAGTTTCACAGATCGCAGCCCCCCAGGGATGGCGAGGTCTATTTGAATCCGCGCGTCGCCCTCACTGTGCTGGGCCCCGCAGCAGGCCTCGAAAATGGCGACAGTTTCACAGATCGCAGCCCCCCCAGGGATGGCGAGGTCTAATTTGAATCCGCGCGTGGCGTCACTGTGCTGGGCCCCCCAGCAGGCCTCGAAAGTGGCGACAGTTTCACAGATCGCAGCCCCCCAGGGATGGCGAGGTCTAATTTGAATCCGCGCGTGGCGTCACTGTGCTGGGCCCCCCAGCAGGCCTCGAAAGTGGCGACAGTTTCACAGATCGCAGCCCCCCAGGGATGGCGAGGTCTAATTTGAATCTGCCCGTGGCGTCACTGTGCTGGGCCCCCCAGCAGGCCTCGAAAGTGGCGACAGTTTCACAGATCGCAGCCCCCCCAGGGATGGCGAGGTCTAATTTGAATCTGCGCGTCGCCCTCACTTTGCTGGGCCCCCCAGCAGGCCTCGAAAATGGCGACAGTCTCACAGATCGCAGCCCCCCGCAGGCAAGGCAGGAAGAGGCAGGGAGGGAGGGAGGGAGGAAGGAAGGAGTGGAGACCACACTGCTCTATTCAAAACGAATACCCAACCAAGGAGGGTTGGGAATAATCAAAAAATAATCCAAACATGATCAGGGGACTATGTTTTGGGTATCTCGTGGCCCTTTTGGGGCATCTTTGAAAGTATTTGTCATTTTTCAACGAAAATCCCCCTGTAAGGGAACAGGCCCGACTTAAGCCCAAGCGTCAGCATCCGTGTCGGGACTCGACGGCGGGCGAGAGGGGGGGAAGTGAGAAGGAGAAGCAGGAGGCCCTCTCCGAAGGCGGCGGGACTTCTCCGTAATCCCTCGCGCTCTCTGAGAGGCTGTCTGCGTCTTCGGGGGAGGCTTGGAGCGCTTCTCAAAGGCCGATGGACTTCCCAGCGCTCTGAGAGGGCTCGCCCCTTCTCACTTCCCCCTAGGGGTCGCCGCCGAGGGACAACGTTGGGATTGGCTACTGACACTTCGTGAATCCTTCAACCCTGGAGGATCGTATCGATCTAGTTAGCGCGAAGGTTCGTGGTCTTCCGATGGCGCGGGTGGTGCGATGCTGGCCGATTCCGTACCGTAGGCTGCGTTCCACCTGTCCACCTGAAGGTGGGGTCGAAGCTGCGTCAACGCGGCGCAAACCTTCTGCAACCAAATAATACAATAGCAATGCATGGCAAACGCCGTTGCCATCGGAGGCGTACGTTCCGGGACAGCATGATCATGGAAGCAATCGGATGTCCATGTGTGCTACCTCTGCGCATGTCGTGGTTAGCATTGCTGGGCCCGTTCCCTGTATCATTGTACGGTGTGAACAATGAATATTCCGTCCCCCCGCCTACTGTCAGGTCGGGCCTGTTCCCCTACAGGCCAATTTAGGACGAAACATAACAAATAGCCAGAAAACGCTCTAACACAGTCAAACAGCATGAGAACAAAAAACCGTCCCCATCCTATGATTTCAATATGTTTGAATATTCCCCCTGTAGGGGGACAGGCCCGACGTGAGCCTGCTGCACTCCTCCGTTCCCCCCCTGCGTTCTCCTGGGTGCCCTCGGGCGCGACGGGCGGTGCAGAGGGAGGCACGGGACACGAGGCCTTAGGGGGAAGGAGAGAGAGAGAGAGAGCACGGGAGGAGCCCGAGAGCGGCAGGGCACGGGCAGGCCGCAGAGAGGATCGGCCAGGGGCGGCCCCTCCGGACGCCCGCGCTCGCGAGCGGCCCCGTCCGAGGAGTGGGCATCGCTCGGACGTCCATTCCCTGTGCTTGTTTCGGTTTCGTGCGTGGTGTTTTCGCCAAATGATCAAGGATGCTCCTCGAGGGTCCTCGCCGAAGGAAAAATGCACGCGTCCTAGCGATGCCGAGAGGCGTCGAGCACGAGCCGAGGGGTCGCGGCAGCGGCAGCGGCACCCCTCGGCCCAGGACGGCGCGGCGGCGGCGGCGAGCCGGCCGCACGCCTGCTGGTCCGCCGCGGTCGCGAAGGGGCTGCCCCCCAGCGGTGCCGCGAAGCCGCGCGTGGTCAGCGGCGTGCGTGCGCCGGCGGGGGCGGCGTGTGCGGCTCCGAACGGCGGCGCCGCGATCTGGCGTTCTCGTTTTCTTTGCTATGCCCAGCTCCCAGCACGAACGCCCGCACGCCCTTCGGCGTCGCGGCAGCGCGCGCCGAGGCGCGGGCGCAGAGCAGGTCGAGAGAGAGCGAGCGACGCGCGCGGACCAGAACACGCACGCGCACGCACGCATGCACGCGCACGCACGCACGCGCGCGCAGGCAGGCAGGCAGGCAGGCAGGCAGGCAGGCAGGCAGGCAGGCAGGCAGGCAGGCAGGCAGGCAGGCACACACACACATGCATACATGCACACACACACACTTGTGGTGATCGCGTTTGTGGTTAGCTCTCTAGCAGGAGTCTTGAAGCACACATGGCCGAGTTCACCAGTGGAAGATCCCGAGGCCACGCGCTGCATACGGACGCCCGACGTGCCTGGCCACAGAGGGGCCAATCACTGGGCATACGCCTAGCCACATGCGCATCCAACTCTAACCCAAGCATGCCTTCTTGCGTCGCTGGCAACTGTCGGGACAAAACTCTGGGCCGCTGGCGGCCGTTCGGGACGATACGGGCACCCGCGTCGAGAGCGCCCGAAAACATCGAACCTCACCCAGCTTCCTGGTGACATTGCAGTTGTTTCAGCATACTGGGGCCTGCTTCGGGCAAGGCCTCACTGGCGCCGTGGTCCTGGTCGTCGTCGATGGTGGCCTCCTCGGCGTCGTCGTAAGCGTCGGTGTCTGCCAACATCCTCCCTCAGTCTCACTGGCCTCATCCTCCTGAGAGAATCAAGATAAGGCATTGAAGTAGTGCTGGGATGCTGCTGACGAGCCAAACTAATTTCCGAAACCGATGGGCGTTGGCGCAAAGGCCTGCCTAACCCTGTGGCCGATCCCGGGCGGCCGGGTTCGACCTGCTCAGAACTGCCCCCCTGTGGTTGGGTGACGACCTTCCCACCGACGGCCCAGGAGGACGGGGGATGAAGAATCCAGGGAGGACTGGGAGACAAGGAGGGTGGGTAAGGCGAGGAGGGGGCGAAGGAGGAGGAGGAGGAGGAGGAACAGGGAGCAGAGGGGGAGGAGTGGGGGCACGATTGTTATGTGGCGTTCGGATGAAGAGGGACAAGGAGTGGGGGGCAACTTCCTCAACCTTCTCGTGCTCCTCCCTGTCCCCCTCCTCTCTCATGCTTCTCCTCCTGTTGCTTCTCCTCGTCATCCTCTTTCTCCTCCTCAATCATGCGTTCCCCCTCCTCCCTGCTCCCCTCGTCCCATCTGTGCCGTCGTGATACGAGATGTCACGCTTCAGTCCCAAAGACAGGCCTGCGGAGCGGCAGCGACACGTGAATTGAGCAGTCACGTGGACCATGCAGCGACATGACCGCGTATCTGCGAAGAACCACACCATGTCTAGCAACGCCCGTAACTGCCACCACCCCCTATGGGCGCTGGTGGCTTAAAACACTGTTTGCTATTCCCCCCCTATGCGTCCGTTACGGGGAGGGAAAGGGGGGGGGTCGGGTCGCCGTGGAGGGGTAATGGTAACGTCGTCGGGCCCCGCGGGGGGGGGGGGGGGGCGGGCCCGGGCGCCCCGGGCGACGACGAGGACGACGGTCGCCTCTGAAGGTCTCCAGAAGTCTCCAGGAGGTCTCTGGAGGCGCCTGGAGGACCTCGGAGTCCCTCGTAAATAACGAGGAGGACGAGCACGAGGACGAGGACGACGGCCGCATCTGAAGGCCTCCAGAAGTCTTCAAGGCCTCAGGAGGTCTCTCGAGCCCACTGATGGCGTCCACGAGGCCCTTCGAGGCACTCGAGCCCAGGAGACGACGACGAGGAGGACGAGTTGGAAGAGGGGAACGACGACGACGACGACGATCTGGCGTGTCTATTAGGCGCATCCACCCAGAATGTGTTTAGATACGTAAGAGAGAGCGTGATCCACCACCGCTTTACTGTGGAACATTCCACCCCTCTTCCTCTGGAAGCTGGGGTCCCCCCCCTCCGAAAATCACCCACACACACACACAGCTCGAACTCCCCCCGCCCCCCCCCCACCCCCCCTCCCCTCCCCCGGCAAAAAACCCCGTCCCCCCAACCCCTCCCGCCCCTCCCCATCTCTGGAAAACCGGGGGGGGGGGGGTCACTACCAGTTCAAGCCCCCTCCAGTCCAGAAATAGGGGGGAGTCACGACGGGTTCGACCCCCCCCACTCATCGCCGTCCCACCACCGCCCCTCACCACCGCTTTTACCCGCTGTCCCCAGCACCACCGTCCCCACCACCACTGTCCCACTGTCCCCACTGTTCCCATCACTGACATCACTGTCCCCACTGTCCCCACCACTGTTCCCACCACGGTCCCACTCTCCCCACTGTCCCCACTGTCCCCACCACTGCCCCACTGTCCCCACCATTGTCCCACTGTCCCCACTGTCCCCGCCGCTGTCCCAATGAGCTGTCCCACTGTTCCCATCACTGTCCCCACTGCCCCCACCACTGCCCCCACTGTACAACTGCCCATTGTCCCATCACCGTCCGCTGTCCCCACCATCACCGCCCCCACCACCATCCCACCGTCCCCACTGTCCCCACCACTGTCACACTGTCCCCACGCCGCTGTCCCCACCACCACCGTCCCCACCACTGCCCCACTGTCCCCACCACCACTGTCCCAGTGTCCCCACCTCTCCCACCATTATCCCCACCGGTGCCCCCACCAGTGTCTCACTGTCCCCACTGTCCCCGCAACTGTCCCCACAACTGTCCCCACCACGGTCCAACTCTCCCAATTGTCTCCGCTGTCCCAACCCACTGTCCCACTGTCCCCACTGTCCCCACCACTGCCCCCTTGTCCCCACTGCCCCCACCGCTGTCCCACTGTGCAGTCCCACTGTCCCCACTGGCCCCGCCACTGTCCCACTCTCCCCAGTCCCCGCCCACCACCTCCATCCCCACCACTGTCCCACTGTCCCCGCTGTCCCCACCACTGTCCCACTGTCCCACTATCCCCACACCACTGTCCCAGTGTCCCCTCCACTGTCCAAGCGTATCCAGGAGCGGGAATCATCTGTCGGCGGCGAGGGGAGGGGGGGTTTTCGAACCTGTAAAGACCCCCCTTTTCATGATGCGCGGGTGGGGGTGGGAGGGGGTTCGAACCCGTAGTGACCCCCTCCTGGTTTTCGAGGGGGGGGACGGATTGGAACTCCCAGTGACCCCCCCAGTTTCCCGCCAGCAGCGGTTGAACACGTTCTTTATACGAAACTACATCTAACTTGGGAATGACTACGCTCTTTGGCCTGTGGCTCGAGAATGAGAGCGGTGCTTGGCTTACGCCCCCAGATATGGGGCGTCTAGAAGCAGGTAGACTTAGCCCAACCATCGATTCTCCAAAACTCCTTGGAGGCGGGGCTGGGGTTCGGATTTCGCCACGTGCTCCACGAATTCCGGATCTGCCCCCGCCGCCCCTCGAGTCACCCGAATCGTTGACCGGCGAGGGTCGGGTTCAGATTCCGCCGCAGGAGACGACCATGACGACGACGACCACGACCACGATCACCACGACGACGACGACGACGACGACGACGACGATGACGACTATGACCACGACGACGACCACGACGACGACGTGAGCCGCCGCGGACGGCGACCACGAGGACCACGACAACGCTGACGACGACCTCGATTTCGGCTTTTGGGGGTCTCACGGGAGGCCCTCGTCGTCACCGCTGGATTCGCGCCGAAATTCATGTCAAAACGTACCCCAGGGGAGGTCTGGGGAGTAGCGGTATTGGTAGCTTCGTGTTTCCCAGCGGAGGCCCATCGAGGGCGTTCCCAGGGCTGTCGTGAGCCGCCGAGGACGACGACCACGGTGACCACGACGACGACCACGATGTCAAAACTTCCACAAGCCTTCGGTGGCCATCGCGGCGGGCCTCCGGTGGCCTGGGCCCCGCGGCGCGGGTGGCGGGCAACGGCGGCGTCGCCGGCCGTGGTTGTCGTCGGCCGTGGTCGTCGTCGTCGGCCTTGGCAGTGGCCGTGGCCGTGGCCGTGGCTGTGGCCGTGGCCGTGGTCGTCGTCGTCGTCGTCGTCGTCGTCGTCCTCGTGGTCGTCGTCGTCGTCGTCGTCGTCGTCGTCGTCGTCGTCGTCGTCGGGCGGCGAGCTGCGCCGCGCGGTGGCGACCCGCGGCGCCTGGTCCGCGAGCGCCACCGGCGACGGCTCGGCGCGCTTTGGGGCGCTGCGCGCGCCCTCGCGGACCTGCAGCAGCGCCTCGGGGCGGGAAGGGGTGCGAGGCGAGGAGTCGTCCATATCCACGGATGGATATGGACAAATGGGTGACGCCCTGGAGGATGACGCCCTAGTTCCGCGTGGATATGGCTCGCCCTAGTGCCGTATGGATGACGCCCTGGACTGATGGATATGTCCATATCCACGAAAGGATGACGCCCTGGTGCCATATGGATATGGTTCGGCCCCTGGGGGCGCAAAAAGTAGTCCATACAGTCGGGCCCTTAGTGGGCCCTCAGTGGGCCTCGGGGCGGGGGGGGGTGTGCGAGGCGAGGATTTGTCCATATCCACTGCCTGGGAACTGACGTCCTGGTGCCATCTGGATAGGATATAGTTCGGCCCCTGGGGGCGCAAATATATCCATATAGTCGGGCCCTTAGTGGGCCCTTAGTGGGCCTCGGGGCGGGGGGGGGGTGCGAGGAAAGGATTTGTCCATATCCACTGCCTGGGAACTGACGTCCTGGTGCCATATGGACATAGTTGGGCCCCTGGGGGCGCAAAAAATATTCCATACAGTCGGGCCCTTAGCGGGCTCTGGAAACGACAGGGCCGTGTTTTTAACTGGTTCCGTCGCCGTTTTTTGACCGGTTCCGGCTCCGGTTCCAATTCTGGAGCCGCTATTTTACCGTTTCCGGTCGCCGTTTTTTTGCCGTTTCCGTTTTCAAGGGACATTTTTCTGGAAACGGTGAAAAAACGGCCCTGCCGTTTCCGGGGCCCACAAAGGTCGGGCCGTGTCATAAGGATGCGCGGTAAGGATGCCAGGGCGTTGGAAGGCCTTGTCGACACTTTACGGGCGGGGCGCAGCCAGCGAAAGCGGCCAGGGATGGGCCGAGGAGGCAAGGATGCGAGGGCACCCTTGGGAAAACTGTCCGTCCTTGCTCTGCGGGTTGACTGTGTCCACCGGCTGTGGTCCGCGAAGACCGCTCCTGGGGGAACAAAAAGTGACGTAAAAACTCGGAGGTCCGCGCGGATTTCTCGGATCGGCGCTGATACCCCCTCCCTGGCGCGCGGAGCGCGCCAGGGGCGTTGCCGGAGGCGCCGCCGAGGGGCGCCAGCGCCGATCCGAGAAATCCGCGCGGACCTCCGAGTTGTTATGCTTATGGTACTTTTTGCGCCCCTAACTCCACCAGGCGGTGGTCTTATGGATACATTCCCGCCCCAGAGGGGGTTTCTGCCCGGGTGCGCCAGCGAGAAGGCCACGAGAGAGGCAGCCAGTCTCGACCCTACAGTCGGGCCTAGGCCAGAAGAGCGCCCTTCACGAGCACGAGCCCCCCCGCCGGCCAAACACACACACACACACACATTCACGCACACACACACACACATTCACACACACACACGCAGTCACACACAGAACAACCAAGGGTGCCCTCCCCGAGCTGCACAAGAGCATCCAACAAACACGGGGAACACCAGGGCTCCCTCCACGAGCCGACCCCGATCCTCTACCTCGGCCTGGCTGCACCGAAGGCGGCCCCCAGAACCGCCCTCTCCGATCTATGCGAGAGCATTGGGCCTCTGGGGAGGATCGAGCCTCACACTTCGACTGGCCACGGCGGCGGGAGCCGACGCCCACGCCGACGCCGACGCCGCCACCGCTGGCGACGACGACGACGACGACGACGACGACGACGACGACGACGACGACGACGAGAGCGGGGACGACGAGAACGAGGACGGCGAGAACGAGGACGACGAGAACGAGGACGAGGAGGACGACGACGACAAAAACAAAAACAACAAAAACAACATGACGGCCGCCGGCGGCGGCACGAAGTGGCGCCTGCTTGCCGGAGGCGCGCAGCTGCTCGCGGTAGCTGGCGCCGCCGGAGGCGTCCGCGCAGAGCAGCGCCTGGCCGTTGGGGGGGCGACCCCGACTCACGAGCGGCGACCCTTGCGCCCGCCTCCGATCCTCCTCCTCCTCCTCGTTCTTTTCCTCCGCCTGCTCCTCCTCCTCCTCCTCTCCCTCCTCCTCCTCCCTCCTCCTCCTCCTCCTCTCCTCCTCCTACCTCCTCCTCCTCCCCCCCTCCTCCTCTTCATCCTCCTCCTCCTCCTCCTCCTCCTCCTCCATCCTCCTCCTCCTCCCCTTCCTCCTTCCCCCCCCTCCTCCTCCTCCTCCTCCTCCTCCTCATCCTCCACCTCTTATTATTATTTGTCCTCTACTTTTCCTTCTTAGTCTTCCTCTTCGTCTTCGTCTTCGCCTTTTTTTATTCCTCGTCCTTGTCCTCGTCCTTGTCCACGTCCTCCTCCTCCTCCTCCTCCTATTCCTCCTCCCCCCCATCCCCCTCCTCCTCCCAAAAGATCTGAGGCTCCGACGAAACTAGAGCGGGCGGTTGTTGGCTTTGTTCGGCCTCTGGGCGCCCTTGCAGGGCACAAAGACCGTCGACAAAAACTGCCCGTGCGAAAAACCGGCCCTGGATAGGGAAGTGGTCCAGACCGGAGGGCCACGCATCGAAAAGGTTGGAGCGGTCAGATATCCGAGTACTCCTCCTCCTATTCTTCCTCCGCCCCCTCCCCGATCCCCCTCTCCGCCTCCTCGATCCTCGATCTTCCCCCTACCTTGCGAAGCTCACTCAGAGGCGACCGCAGCCGTATCTGCGCCCCCGGGGTCTGGATCCTGGGGCGCGATCCCGCGGACACGCGGTCGCACGGACGCGTTCCGCGCGAAGGGGCATCCGCGAAGAAACGTCCCGTGGCCGCGGAGCCGCGGTCCAGGGGCCTGGCCTGGGAGGCCGCGGATCCGGCCATGTTGTTCGCCCACGAGCGACGAGGAGGGGGAGGACAACCTCGAGAGGAGGCTCCAGCGACTCCAACAAAAACGTGGCGGAGACCCTGACTCCACCTTCCAACCCTTCCGACCAGCGGGCGGCTGATTTGGTGGTCTTCTCCAGGGGCCAAAACACTACGTGAACACAACATTTCGGAACTCCGCGCGGATTTCTCGGACCGGCGTCGACACCCCTCCCTGGGGCGCGGAGCGCGCCAGAGGCGGCGCCCGAGGCGCCGCCAGGCGGGTCAAGCGAGACGACCATGCCTATTTGTTTCCTCTTTCTCTCTCTCTCTCTCTGTCTCGATCTCTCTCTCTCTCTCTCGTTCTCTCTCTCTCTGTCTCTCTAGAGAGAGAGAGAGAGAAAGAGAGAGAGAGAGAGCGAAAGAGAGAAAGAGAAAGAGAGAGGAAGAAAAGAAAAAAGAGGGATATAAAGACAACGAACAAAAATCACTGAATCAGCCACCTGCTGGTCGGAAGGCATGGAAGGTGGAGAGTCCGGGCAGCGCGTCGAACAACATCCGGGCGGAGATGTTCAGCTGCTGCTGCTGGCGACCGGGGACCGTTGTCGGGCTCCGGGGCCGTCGCAGGAAGCTCTCGGACGAGGACGTGGTCCTCGGGCAGCTCCCGAGATGTCCACTGACCCCGCCTCTGAGAAACAACGGCGGCGACGAGGACGGCGACGGCACGAGTCGTACACGCCGAGGCCCCCTCTGAGAAAAACGACGGCGACGAGGACGACGACGGCACAAGTCGTACATACCGAGGCCCCCTGGCGAAAGCGCCTGCACCGAAGACACAGCAGGACGATGCCGACGACGACGACGACGGCCGCGACGGAAGGGCAGGTCCACGATCTCGAGGAAGGGAGGTTCCTGCTCGGCCTTCTCCTGCCTCTGAGCGAAGGTGGTCTAGAGCGGTTCCCCCTCCATCTTCCCTCTTCCCCTTCGAGGAGGAAAATGGCGAGTGGACCGCAGCGAGCGACAGGCGACTAAAGAGGGGAGGGCGAGTGGGCCGCTGAGGACAGCGCCGTGCGCTACGTGACGCTCCAGCGCCCTGCGCTTTGTGATGCAACACAACGGCGCGCTGACTGACCCCACTCCATTGGACCTCCCAAAAACCTACGAAAGTAACGACAAATCTCAATTGGCAGCCCCCACAAATCCCCGAGGTGTCGGCAGGGAGCGCGTACACACTCCGCTCCATCTTCCAGGTGCCCTCGCAAGTGGTGACAATTGCGCAATTTGCAGCCCCCCAGGGAGCCGCGAGGTCCCCACGGGATCCGCGTGGCACCCACCTCCGCCGAGCCTCCCAGGAGCCCACGAGGAATGGCGACGGTTGCGCAGCTCGCTGCCCCCCAGCCGGGAAGGTACGAGGAAGGGAAGCAAGGCGGCAGGAGGCAGCAGGAGGGGGATACTGATGAACAGGATGGGAAGGAGTACGATTAGGTCGGGCATGTCCCCCTACAGGCGGATTTTTGGCGAAATATCGTCCTCAGACTATGTTTGGACTAGTTTTGAATTTTACTCTTGTAGAGAGACAGGCCCGACTTACGAGTAGGAGGAAAAAGCGCCTGGCACGCGTGGCACACATCGCCAAGGCGTCGCGCACCATGGAGACTGCTCTTGGTTGCTGCAACAGATGTCCACAAAGACGACCGCCGAACAAGCTAAGGCTCGGGAGTTCTTTTTTCGGGGGCGCGCCAACATGGATTAGCGATGCATGGATTTGGCGCGCGGTCGCCACATCCATGGATCGGGGGAGGTGCCCTCTCCAAAGTGCGGCCGGTGTCGCATCCTTCGGCGGCGGACATCCGCGATTTCCTCTGGAAACGGGACCCGTCGCTAATTCACGCCCCCTTGATCCATGCTTGCAATCGCCTGATACTTACGTACGTGCTGGGAGGGCGGGTAGGAGCGATGAGCGAGACCGGCTTGCGGGCGGGGAGGGTGCTCTGATCAGTGTCCCCTATTGAAGAACACCGCCTCCCCCGCACGACTGGCATCCAACCCGGACGCATGTCATGTCAAAACGCACGGCCAAGCACACTCTGCCTCCGAAGCTGGAGCACGCGCGGACACTCCGCGACCACTCCGCGCTTGCTCTTGACAGGGACGGCGGGGGGGGGCCCTCGCATCTCTGGCCGCGCGCGTGCCAGCCACCCCTGCCACATCACAGCCTGACGTGCATGCTGCCCCCCACGTCTGGAGCACGCGCGCGCGCCCCGCGGCCACTCAGCACCTGCGTGTCTTTGGCAGGGGGTGCCCGGGTGCTGCCGCCGTGCGAGTGCCTCGTGGACCCCTGCCCCTGCCCTCTCCCTGCCCTGCCCTCTGCCCCCTGCCCCTCCCCTGCCCTCTGCCCCCTGCCCCTGCCCCTCCCCCTGCCCCTGCCCCCTCCGCTACCCTCCCTCTCCCCCTGCCCTCTCCCCTGGACCTGCACCCCTCCCCCCTGCCCTCTCCCCCGGGCCTGGACGGGGCGCCCCGCGGATCGCTGGAGCGCCCACGGTGGCCCCGAGGGGTCCCAGAGAGCCCACGATGGCATCCAAGCTGGCCCCAATACCTCATGATGACCTCCAGGATGACCTTCAAGATGGCCCAACATACCTCAAGATGGATCAGGATGGCTTCCAAGATGATCTAAGATGATCCAAGACCGTCCCAAGACGGCTCCATGTGGCCTCGAAACCCTCCAAGCTGTCCACCAAGAGGCCAATCCCCGCCAACCCGAAAGAAACTGCAATAGTCTTGCCTTCGCGCTTTTCCGCATCTGATGGCCTTCCGAATCCTCAAAATCGCCCCAAGGAGGTCCCGAGAGGGCACCACGAGGGCACACATAATAAGACCCCAATACGGCTCCAAGAGAGCCCAAGAGCGCCCCAAGAGGGCCCCAAGCGGCGACTCTCGGCGCTCTAGAACAGCGGCTCTAATCAAGGCTCCCCGTCTGTGATCGATGTCCCTTGAGATGGTCCCAAAAGACCGCCAGGGCCCCCACGATGGCCCCAAGAAGGTTCCAAGGGAGCCCCACGGTTCACAAAAAGGGCCGACGACCCCACGAGCACCCAAAAACGTCCCAAGAAGAACAGCAATGGTGTCGTTTCAAGCCCGAGGGGACAACCCTGATCCGCGCCGCCCACACGTTTGAACGATGCCCTCCAAGATGGCCAGCGGAGGCGTGGAACGGGAGGGACAAGTCATGCCATCCCCCCACCACGATCCCTCCCCCTCTGGGGGCGACCTGCTCCTCCCGATCGCTGAGGGCCCCCCGTCCCGAGAATTCCGCACATTAACGGCCGCCGAAAACCTGCACCGCCCGAGTCCCACCAGCCCTCTGGGCGTCGGTGGTTTAAAGGGTTTCCTCTTCCACCCCTCCTTTTTCCCCTTCGGGGCCCCTTCCCCTGGACCTGGACAAAAGGGGGTTCCGCGAGGTGTCAGGGCGTCCAAAACTGCCTGATCAAGGCAATTCCTCTGGGAATCGTTTCTGGATGGGCTGGTAGGGGTTACTTTTAGTCAACAGGCCCGCGAGGCGGGCCGAAAACCGTCCGAACACTAGCCGGGCGGCGACTCGGCAGCAGGAAAGAAAGGCAAGCGAATCGAGCGAGCGGGCAGCCATTCAGAAGGAGGGCCGGTGGGGTTACTTGTTAGGTCTGCGGGCTCGCAGAGCAGGTCGAACGCCGTCCGAACACGAGGAGGGCCGCGACTCGGCAGCAGGAAAGAAATGCAAGCGAAGCGAGCGAGCGGGCAACCACTCACAACAAAAGCCAGAAACGAAACTCCCAACCCGGTGGCCTGGAGATCCCATTGGCGGCCAGCAAGTAACCGCTGCCAAAATTGCTCGGCGGCGCGACCATAAACACGCTAAGGTCAATCACTCGGTGTGAGTCGGCACAATGGCACCCTCAGATACAAGCAGGACCGCCAGGCACACCCGGACGACGTCCGTGCCGCAGGCGACACAACTGCATCGTGTCAGCGCAAGAGTGAAGAGGGACAACCTCGTCACAGATAGGAGTGCAAACGGCAGTACCTCTTCTTTGCACAGCAGTGACACACTTCGAAAGCTAAGCCCTCGCAGGAGAAAGCAACCGACGGGCGCACCGACCCGCACATGCCGAAGTCCAAGCACCAAGGAGGTCGGCAGCGTGCGAGACCCGACTGAACCCTTTCGGTCACCAGTGGAGGCCGACACCAGCCAGGAGCAGGCCCGGGACGACCGCCCAGTCCCAGTGTTATCCACGCATGGAATTCGTAGCGAGACACCACCGAAACCGTCGGTCACCAGTGAAGTCCGACACCAGCCAGGAGCAGGCCAGGGGCCACCTGACCGCCCATTCCCAGTGTGATCCTTGCATGGAATTCAGGCTGTCAGAGCACCGCCAAACATCAACATTGGCGGCAACCACCCCAACCGCGCGGGATAAGCCCGGTGAAACAAAGGAGGGGGAGGGAAGTGCACGCCAGGCACGGTAGGCACCCCGGTGTGGCAGCTAACCGCTGCAGCATTAGGTTGCAGGAAGGGAGGAAGGGACACGCGGAAACACCCGGCACACAGGCACAAGGAAGCAGGCAGAAAAGAGGGAAAGGGCACGCCAAGCACGGAAGCCACCCCGGAGCGGCAGGCAACCGATGCAGCATAGGGATGCAGGAGGGGAGGGAGGGACGTGCACGCCAGGCGCGCGGTGTGAGAGGCGGGGGGAGAAATTTATGCTCGAGCAATTGATGCTGACAGGGGCATTCACGGTGGGCTGCCAGTTCACATACCCAGCGTGTTGTCAAAACCGCATCTCGGCGAAACTGAGTTCGACGATAACACCGGAACTCGGTGTTACTGTCGAACCGTTTCTCGGTCCATGGGCTCTCGGCTGCTCGGCTCCTCCTCCCAGCTGTGCCCAGAACGCTCCCTCCCTACTGCGCGCGGCCAGTGTCGGCGCCCACGAGATCTCGATCATCTCGCGGGGGTGCCTGGCGCGCCCTGTTTGCGCCGACGTGATGTCCCAGGTGTATACCCAGGCCCAATAAATCGCTCATGGCCCGAACATCGCAGCTGTGGCTGTGAAGCGAGGTCAGGAAGGCGACGCAGTTTCGCTGGTCGTGCCGACGCGGGTCGAAAGCGCGCGTGGTGCCAGACGGCAATGAACGACGCACCCAGGGTGACCTGAAGGTACCTGATCGTCTCGTTTAGTGAGACTCCATGGGGGTCCCACTGGGAGTCGTGGGGCCCGGGCTCTATAGAGCGGCCCTCCAGTGTGGGAACCCCGTCTCGCCTGGATGCTGGCGATCGGCGAACAGCCTGGGCGTCCACCCAGTTCCCGTCCGACGCGTCAAGGATGCCCCCCGGTTGGGCTGCTGGCCCGTCTGCTGGCGGCTCTACGCGAAGCGTCTAGAATTTCGCCAGCGACGCTGGAGCCCAGGTCTGACGGGACCAACCGATGTGACCTGCTCCGTCCGCGGCCCTACGAGGCCTCGACCGCTTCCCCGGGGGCAGCTTTGAAGGAGCCCTGGGACTCACCAGTAAATAGACACCAATCACAGGATTCCCGATACTTCCCCATATTTCCTGGGTTTTTGTCTTCTCCCCTCCCGACTTCCCATATGCTCCCATATTTTCCTGGGGATCGAGGGTGTGTCTTTTTTTCCCCTCCTGATAGCTTCTCGCCCTAGACCTATGTTGAACGGCCCCGGTCTCATGGAACGGCACCAGGAGGCCGAAGCGATGTGAACAAACCAGGATTGGCAAGATCAATCCTTCGGACGGGCGGGTGTTAGGCCCTGTTATGTTATTCCTAGGTGAAGACGAGGAGGAAGGAAGAGGGAGGAAGCAGACGCGGCGATCGTTTCGATCAAGGTCGTTGCAAAGTAGGGGGGAGGGTTAGGTCGGGCATGTCCCCCTACAGGCGGGTTTCGGGAAAATCAAACAATCCCCCAAACATGCAACAACATACTCAAGCATGGTAACACATCGTCCCCACACTATTGTTTGACTATGTTTGAACAGTCCTCCTGTAGAAGGACACGCCCGACTTAAGGGGAGGGAGGGAGGAGGAGGAGGAGGAGGAGGAGGAGGGCAGAACAGATAAAAAAGATCGTGGGCGCGAAACGCACACGTCGGTCGGAAGAAGTCGGCAAAAACATAAAGTAGGGAGGCGGAAATAGTGGATTGGGTACAGGTCCTCCCAGAGGATACCAAAACACAGCAGAAGCGTGCCGCTTCTTGAAGCAGGAAGGCGCTTGAAGTAGGTTGGGAGATGGGCATTCAGAAATACCTACTTTCAGCGACCGGCGTGTAGTCTGAGAGGTCCAGGGCGTCCATGGAATCCGAGGAGCTCAGAGTCCAGGGGCCGAAGGAGTCAGGGGAGACCAGGCAAGCCAGGAAGCACGAGGAGGCCAGGGGGCTCGGGCAGGCCAGGCCAGGGGGGCCAGGCCAGGGGGGCCAGGGAGCCACGACCGGCGTGTACACATCTCCACGGCCTCCAGGGCTGGGCTCCTGAGCCGCCCGCGACCCCACGGGACGGGACGCGGGGCGGCTCTGCCGCCAGGTGCCTCGCGCGGGACGCGTCCGTGCCACCGCGGAGCGGTGGGATCGCGCCCGGAGATCCAGCACGCAAGCACGACGACGAGGAGGACGACGAGGACGACGACGAGTACGACGACGACGACGACTACCACGGCGACAACGACGAGGACGAGGACGAGGACGAGGACGACGACAAGGACGACGACGACGACGACAACGACGACTGCGACGACGGATGTGGATGCCCGTCGCTCGTGGGAGTAGGAACGCCCCCTGGACGACCCCCCCATGACTGTCGGGGTTTCCAGAGCCGTGTGGTGACAGACCATGCGGTGACGTCGAAATGGTGAGCGTTTTTTCTTCGGCGTTTCGACATTAGCGGGAAGGGGGGGGCTCTGGCTCCGGACCTCTGCTTAGTGCGACTGTTTGCAGCAGTGCGTCGTATGGGAGAGGGGCTCCGCCTGCCAGAAACAGGCGCCAAAAACAGCCGAGATCTACTCCATGGGGGGGGGAGGGGGGGGGCGATGGTCCGCTCCGATCGGCAAAACAAGGAATCCGCCGGCCCCCTTCTTGGGCTACCAGGCTGTAGGGCTAAGGTTCGCAGTTTCTTGCTGCTTACTGTTCCTTGTTGACTTCTTGCTGCTTGCTGTTCCTTATTGATGGACCGCGCGAGGGGGGGAGGCCCAAAACGGGCATTTTTACCACGCCCTGAGCGTGTTGTCTGCATTGCTGGGGCGGATGAAAATTCACACCCTTCACGCAGATCGGCGGGGTCAGGGTCCAAAAACACATGGGATTTGCCACATTTCTGACATTCGTTGGCACCCCTCGCGCAGATCGGCAGTGTCAGGGTCCAAAAAAACACATAGGATTTGCCACCTTGCTGAAATTCGGCAGCACCCCTCACGCAGATCGGCAGGATCAGGGTCCAAAAACACAAGGGATTTGCGACATTTCTGAAATTCGGCGGCACCCCTCACGCAGATCGGCAGGGTCAGGGTCCAAAAACATAGGGGATTTGCCACATATCTGAAATCCGGCGGCACCCCTCACGCAGATCCGTAGGGTGAGGGTCGAAAAACAAGCAGGATCCGACACTGCTTCACGGCGGCGCCCAGGCCTCATGATTTAGCTTCTGCATCTCCCATTCTCCGAGACAGGGGGCCGGCGGCATGGGGCGAAGCCCTTGCGGATAAAAAACTGGCACAAGAGTGAAGTCGGGCGTGTCCCGCTAAAGAGGAATTTTCAACGCATGCTCAACAAACTAGTCCCGAGACTGTTTGTGGACTATTTTTGAAGTATGTTTTATTTTTCGTCGAACATCCCCCTGTAGGGGGACAGGCTCGACTGAACACAAGAGACCTCACCCCGTGACCCGGGCCGTCCTCCCGAGGGTCGCCTCGGGCGGCGGGGGCCTCCGGGGCTCCAGGACCGTGCGGTGACTTCCCGTGGGGGCCCAGGACGGCCTCAGAATGCCCCTCGACGGCCCCAGACAGCGCCAAGACTGCCCCGCGACGGCCCCCAACACCCGCCACACGGCCAAGAGGGCCCCAAGACGGCCCAAGAGAGTCCGGAGCCGACGTAAGAGCGCCCCACGACGGCCCTACGAGGGCCCAAAGGGTCCCCCAAGACTGCCTCACGGGAGGCCCAGACAGCCCAAAGCCGTGGTCACCATGCGCGGTGGTCACCACACCGTTTCGGGGCCCGCTGGCCTTCGGGCAACCACTCAGCTCCCCGGCGGTCCTTCGGGACGATCCTGGCACTCCCAGAGAAACCCCCAGCGGGGCGCAACTGACGGAAACCACCCTGGGTGTCTCACCCATGCGTCGAGTCCGCCTCGAATCCGTGTCGCATTTATGTGGAATCCGCGCCGAACCCACGTCGGACCGTTGGGGGGGGGGGGCCGAGTCTTGGAGGAAGCTGGAAGATCTGGACTGGTTTGGGACCCCAGAAATTCGGTCAGGACGGGGATGTGAAGCCCAATTCCGCTCACCATCGGTCCCCCGGATCCACCTGGTGCAGGTTTTCACCCCGGATCCGTTCCAAGAACCTCGAACTCGCCGCCCCTTCCTGCTGGCCGGAGCCAGTGCTGGGCTCCCAGCCGACTCCAACACGAGGCTGCCCTGGAGCTTCGGCGGCGACGACGACGACGAGGACGCGTCGACGACGGCAACGAACACGACGACGACGCAGCAGGCGAAGACTGAAACGTCGACGACGACGACGAGGATGACGACGACGTCGCCTGAAAGGGCTGCGACGACGACGAGCGCAACGACTGCACGCTCGGGGCGAGACGGCCGACCAACCATCCCCGCCGCGCGCCTGCGTGGGCGTGGGCGAGCTCGCCGCCGGCGAGGACTGCGGCCTGCCCCCGCCCCGCTCCGCTCCGTGTGTGCAGTCGACGCACTCGTCGTCGCCGCATCCGTCCAGACGATGTCGTCGTCGTCGTCGTCATCGTCGTCGTCTTCGTCTTCTCCGACGTCGTCGTCGTCGTCGTCTTCGTCGTCCTCGTCGTCGCCGCCGCGGTTGTCGTCGTCGTCGCGTCATCGTCGCCACCGTCGTCGTCGTCGTCGTCGTCCTCGTCCTCGTCCTCGTCGTCGTCGTTGTGAGGACAACTCGGCCAGGAGCCACTGCCGCCGTGGCTGGGAGCCCACCAGCTTGCCTGAATGGCGAGAGCATCTCTGGAGCGAGGGCGCCGTTCCAGACTTGCCAGGCCTCGCCCCTCGGAAGGCATTGCGAGCGGCACCGAGCGGGAATCGCTGCCTCGGCCTCTCGAGCTCCCGACGCCCCAGAGCGGCCCCAAGAGGCCCCCAGGACCGCCCCAGGACGGAAAGAGAGGAGGAGGAGGAGGAGGAGGAGGAGGAGGAGGAGGAGACCGAGCGGGAATCGCTGAGGAGGAGGAGGAGGAGGAGGAGGAGGAGCGGCCCCAGGAGGCCCCCAGGACCGGAGGAGGAGGAGAGAGGAGGAGGAGGAGGAGGAGGAGGAGGAGGAGGAGGAGGAGGAGGAGGAGGAGGAGGAGGAGGAGGAGGAGAGGAGGGAGGAGGTGGAGGGAGGAGGAGGAGGAGGAGGAGGAGGAGGAGAAGGAGGAGGAGGGAGGAGGAGGAGAGGGCCACAGCGCGGCCCAAGGGGGCCCCGAGGCGGCCCCAGAGGCGCCCAAGAAGAGGCCCGAGAGGGCCCAGAGGCAGCCCCAGGAGACGTCCAAGAGGCGGAGCACGAACGGAAGGTCCGAGTCTCCCGCCCCAGGAGGCCCCCAGGAGGCCCCTGGGAGGCCCCGAAAGGCCCCCAAGAGGCCTCGAGAGATCCCCGAGAAGTCTCAGGGAAGTCTCGAAGACTCAAAAGGCCTCCAGGCAATCTCGAAGACGCCCCAAGAAGCCACAAAACGGCGCCAGAACGGTCCCCACGAGGCCCCAACGGCCCCCGCGACATCCCAGCGAATGCGAAAGACCTGTGGCCCACAACCCAGACACGGTGGCGGGTACACTCGACCAGGATAGTCAGGCTTCGCGGTAAGGATGCAACAGCCCTGGAACGCCATGTTGGCGTTTCCCGTGCGGAGCGCAGCAGATGCCGAAGGATGCCGAATACCGAAGAGGCAAGGATGCAAGGGTAGCCTTGCACAAATGCCCTAGCCTTACTATCATGGTTGACTGTAGAACAAAGGGTGAAAGGGAATGACAAGAGCGCTGCTGTGGAACGGACGCTCGAGCATGGTCACAAGGGTTTGGCGGCCGATTGCGCGGCAGCGGTTTTGACATAGGGATCCTCATGCACAAGTGCTGGAGCTAACGGGAGGGCGAGGCGCGTTCAGACAGCCACCGAGGACAGCGGAATGGAAAGACGGGGAAGATGAGAGTGAAAAAGGAGAACATCAGGGAAAGAGTAGAGAGGAAGACTGAGAGAGCGCGTTTGCGAAGGGTACAGGGACGGGGCGAATCAAAGTGGAGCAATACGTCACATATTAAATCACAAGCGAGAAACCGAGCACTGGAGAGCGTCGTGGCCTTGGGGTTCACGTGACTGTGCGCTCTTAGGGACCTTCGAGTTCAAAGCTTGTGCACGTCTCTGCGAACTCTGGGGGGTCTTGGGGATCCTGGCTGTTTGCATCACCGTTCGCTCCTGAAGTTGTGTCGTTGAAGGTCTCGGGGGGCCTCTTGAGAAACTCTGGGAAGCATCGTGAAGGCCTCTTAGGGGTCATCTTGGTGCTCTGTTCGGCAATTATCGGGCCCTCTTGGGCCGTTGTAGGGCCCTCTTGGGCCGTCCCCGGGCCCTTTTGGACCAACTTGAAGGGCGTGGGCCGGCTTGCAACGCTATGAGGGCACTCTTGGGAGTCCCGTATGGCCCCATTGGGGTTCTCCTGGGAGCCGCTTTGGGCTCTGTGAGGCCTTCCTCGTGCCGTCTTGGAGCTCTACTGGGCCGTCTTGAGGCGCTCCTGGGCAGTTTTGAGGACATCTTGGTCATCATCACACTCATCATCATCATCACCACCACCATCACCATCATCATCATCATCAGCAGCATCAACAGCATCAGCATCAGCACCATCACCATCACCATCACCATCACCATCACCATCACCACCATCACCATCACCATCACCATCACCATCACCATCACCCTCACCCTCACCATCACCACCATCACCATCACCATCACCATCACCATCACCATCATGATCATCATCATCAGCATCATCGTCATCATCCTCATCCTCATCCTCATCCTCATCCTCATCCTCATCCTCATCCTCGTCCTCATCCTCGTCCTCGTCCTCATCCTCATCCTCATCCTCATCCTCATCCTCATCACCACCACCGATCAGACGAACCGTCAGACGCGAGGTCTCACCCGTGGCGGCCTCCCGTGCCCCCCTTCGAACTAAGATGAAGCCGGGATCGGGGCAAAATTTGACCGGGATAAAAATCATGCTCGGTTTTTCAAATCACCGGGGGCGCCGCCGAACGGGCCTGCCACGCCTTGGGCGCCATCGGCTTCGCGAGGGAAGAAAAGCGCCCCGGCGCGGATGAAGCCACGGCGCGTATTTGGCCACGCGCACGACCGAGGGAATTCAGCGCCAAGCGCCTTTCACTCCAGAAGGCCCGACGTCAACAAAACAAACTTGAGGCCCAAAGGGGGCCCCAAGGAGGCGGACCGCCAAAACAATCACGCAACCAACGCAACGAAAAAAACACGAAAATGTCAAACATCGCGTTACTCAGTGACCTCGTCGGCCAAGCAACACCGCGATAATGCCCAAGAAGGCATTGGAAAAAAGTCACGCGCGCGGCCAGGCGACTTCCCCGCGCCGCCCCAAGGTTCCCGAAGCGCGCCGAAATAACCGTAGAGAACACCCCGGAAAGTCTTTGGAAAATCCCCGCGCCATGCAAGATCCGCCGCCGAACAATCTCGCGGACACCTAGCGCGTGCGCGCGGGCGTCCACCATGGATGGCCAAATCCGGTTTCCGAGACAATCGCGCGCAACCGCCTGGGGGCCTCGGCAACCTCGCAATTGGCCCAGGGGCCCGCGGGCCCCAGGGAATCGAATACCGAGTTCGCAACTCCGGAAGCATCGGGCGCAGCGCCAGCCAGTCGCTCGTCTCTGGCTGACAGTAGGACGCCTGGAGACCCGGTAAAACCTAAAGAACCGCTTTTCAGAGATTCACAGAACCAGAAACCGGGGCGCGCCAAATTCTCGCGTCCGAACTTCTCTGAGAATCTCTGAAAATCTCTGAACTAGCCACCCCGCGTGAAACATTCCCATAAACCCAAAACCTCGGAGCTGGCCGAAACTCTCTGAGAGTTTTTCGGCCCGCGAAATTTGGCGCGCCCGGATTTCTGGTTCCGAGATCCTCTGAAATCGCGCTGCGGCGGCGCCCAGCAGGTCCTCGCGCGCCCAGGGTGGGGGCCGTGGACATCGCGGGCCGCGATGGTCCCGACCGCGAAGTCCTTCCTCCTGCCCCTCGACGAGTCCACGCTCATGGACACGCTCTCTGCGCTGAGCGCGGACCGCGCCATCCGCCGGCACTTCTGCGCGACGACAGCCAACAGGCCGCCGACGGACCGGGCGATTTTTCCCCGAGCTGCGCGTGCCACCGAAAACGTACAATAGCCCCGGGCTCGGGGAGAAACACTTTCGAAGCATTTTCAGGCCGCCAGCGTCGTGGCTGCCGACGCGCCGCGCGCCGACCGAGAGACTAGCTGGGTCCACTACGTCCACGGCGGCGGGCGGGCGCCCAAGAGAGCTGTCGCCGCGGTGCGCGCGGCGGGGCGCCCGCCCAACTGCAACCGCAAATGCGGCCTCCATGGCGCCACAGGCGTAACATATGCGACGCATTCTCGGGCCCCCCATCAGCGCATTGGCTTGCGCCCAAGCCCCTGAAACGCAAACCTACTGCGCCCCTCGTGCAAGCCGCGCACCCGCTCACAATGCTCGTGCACACCAGATTTTCTGCCCGCCCTCAACAGTTTAATTGAGCGCCCATGTGTTACTTGGGCTCCTCAAGCCCTCGAACATTCTTTGGGGACTTCTGCGAATGCGCGCGCTACGCTCCACAAGTCGGCGTTCTATTTTTCTCTGGAACTCTCCCAGGATCTCTGGTTCCGATGTGTCCCGATCTTCCGCTCAACTGACGAACCCCCCCCACCCCGAGTGCTGGGCGAGGAGGAGGAGGAGGGGGAGGAGGAATGGGCGAGGAGGAGGAGGAGGAGGATAAGGATAAGGATAAGGCCCTTGGGGGTCTGTCAACTTCGCCCACCGACAGGCATGCCGACCCCTGGGAAACACATGGACGCGAGCCCCGAGCCACCTGTATGCTGTGGGGGGCCGCCTGAGGCGACGGGGCCCGCCTCCGTTGAGGCGTGGTCCCCGAGCCTCGCTAGCAGGGGAACCCTGCCTCGGCTAGGCGCTGATGCCGGTGCAGGCGGAGGGGGGCTGCCTCACTCTGTGGGCGCACCCCCCGCCGCTGAGAGCCCACCCACCCTCGCTCCCCACTCCTCCCACCACTCCCTCAAGGCGGCAAGAAAGAGAGACAGAAAAAAAGAAGGGCGGCCTTGTACTCGCCCCATCCCCTACCCTCGCCTGATCGCACATGTCTCTCGGCAGAGATATGGAAATGGCGTGGCCGCACTGGCTCACGCGTGGAATGCTATACTGCCTGTCGAGCATGTGATGCTCTCGCTGAGGGAATAAAAAAAGAACAAGGCCTGAAGCGATGAGACCAGCTCTCAGCTCACGACATCCCGATGCCCCAGCCTGCCGCAGCCGCTGCCCTTGGCGACGAGAGTCGCACGTCCCTGCTCTGAGCTGCGCCTGCGTTGTGGTCGGCCTTAGTAGCGGCGACTGGGGCCTCGGCCACGACCACGCCACG